ATATATATATATCCACAATATTTAATCCTAATTTATTCTCTTATAAAGAATAATAAAACACTGTTGTTTTCAGAAAAATACACCGAAGTAGAAACATTATGTTAAATGAAATAATCCAGACAGAGAAAGTGTACCACAAATTTTCCCTCAAAAGTGGAAGAAGAAACTTGAATGTAGAAGAGTGGTTCCTAAGGTTGTGAGGAAGATGTGTTTGGATGGATAAAGGGCACTTCTATCTGATCTGTGCTACCTGAATGAATTTAATCTAACACTACATTGGGCTTATTAATATTAACAATAAAAACATGTTAACTAAACCTCAGATTACAGCAGTTTATATATAGTCTACATGTTATATAGAACAGTAAGACTGAAAATAAAAAGAACAGTACATGATAATAACATCCATTAAAAAGCAGTGGTAATTGAGGCAGTGTGGTATTGACACTAGAAAGAAAATGTTTTTAACTGGAGGAAGGGGACAGAAATGATTGTGCTCACAAATGGCCACATATTCTACACGGGTATCATTGTATTTGGGGGTGAGAAGCACAGTCTTTTCAGTGTCAGATGCTGGAATAATTAGGTATACATTGGATATATGTTTTAATCTTTTACAAAATTTAATCCATCATAATTGAAGATCAAAATTTAAAAGCCAAAGCAAAAAAGGTTTCTAGAAGAAAGCCAGAGGGTAACTCCCTTACCGTGGGTCATGTCATTTCATCAAATAAGATGCAAACGCATCAATTATAAAGTAAAACCTTGATAGATTTAGCTTCAACAAAATCAAGACCTGTCCCTTACTTAAAGACTGAGAAGTTTCCCACGAGTGGTAGCAAAGGAAAACAGAGAAAGCAAGCCTCGGCTGGAGAGATATATTCAAAGTAAATACATCAAGCACAGGTTTGAATCCATACCACAAATAGAGAAAAAATGAATACAAATCACAAAGAGAAAGCCACATAGTATTTGAATAGATATATTTAATAAAACTGTCTTTATCACATTGATAACACTAAGGAAAAATAGTCCACATCTTTACCAATCAAGGAAATACAAACTAACATCAAATGAGATCCAGATGGCATCCAGCAGAAGAAAATTAAAAGACTCACTCTCATATTATGACACAGGGAAACTGCACTTCACTGTCATTCTGCTGGGACCAAATATTAGTAAAATTTTCTTTGAAAGCCATTTTGAATTATTTAGATATTATGTATACTTTATGACTTTGAGATTCTTCACAGAAGTTTTTCCATGATACAAATAATTGCACATGTCTACAGAAAGCTATGAAAAGAATCCCACAATTGCAATGTTTTTTTTTTTCAGTAGTTCTAGCCCAAACAAAACCTAAGCGATATGGTAAACGATAGAACATTGTTATCTGCAAGCAGTGAAAAACTTTTACCAAAAGTGAACAACTTTTACCACGTTGTTTTTTTTTCTGTGTAACTGATTCTCCTACATATGGCATTCATTTATTGAATAAAGTAGATAGATACCAATAACCTGACTATACAAACCATTTATGAGAATCTAGAACAGCTGAAGTTTATCTGAGGACATGAATGCCTATGGAATTCAGTGATCCTCCCATTTAGTGTGGGGAGATAGCAATTCATCTGTACAGTATATACAGGCATGAGGGAGCTTGTGAGGTGCTGTGTATACAGTCATGAGGGACCTTTGGGGTGCAGTGTATAAAGGCATGAGGCAGTCTTTGGGGTGCAGTGTATATTTGCTGCTCTGAGAAGAATATGTTGATGCAAAACTTCATGCAGTTGTACGTATAATATTTATATACACACATGCCAAATTAAATGTTAAAAATGAAATTCATAGAGGTTATTCAAATAAGTGGTCAATAAACAATGGAAATAATGATAGCATTTCCAATTAAGGAAATGTATGTTAATGCAACAGCAAAACATTATATTACCCACAAGCTACTAGCAAAAAATTAAAAAGCAAGTGATAAACTAGTTTTAGAAATTTGAATTTTTACAACATATTAAATTGTAATTTGGTAAGTTATCTTAAACTAAATCACATACACATACTTTATCAAGGACAGCAGAGCTGAGAATGTCACTGTGTTTGCTTTCATGTTTCTGTGTTTAAAATACCTGAGAGAAAAAGTTAAGGAAAGAAATATTGCTTTTTAATTCATGGTTTTAGAGGACTCAACTCACAGTATACTGTCTTCATCTCTTGGGTTCAACCCATGATGCTCTGGTTTCATCACTTTGAGATGGAAGCAAGGCTGAACATCAGTGCCAGTATAGGAAGCACTTCATCTCTCCACCTGGAAAAGAGGATGTAGGGAAAAGAGGAAGACAGGAAATGTCCAGGGGAAGATGCAGCACTCATGGGCATTTGTCTATTAACTTACTTCCTCCAATTCTGCACCATTACCTTCTTTGAACATCATCCAACAACACTGTCATATTATAAGTCAGCTAAGGCATCAAGCAACTGATTGATCAGAGTCTTCCCGATAAGCCCACCAGCCAGCAATTGAGTCCCCAAAGCATGGTTGTGACCTTTCATACTCAAACAATAGTATTCACTGAGACACATGGCAGTGTGTATGTAATGGCATACATACAAGTTGTTTTTCCAATGTTGTTTGGGGGGGGTGTTAAAACCAGAAACAGTGTTAACTCACAAGTAGAGTTTTGATACAAATATGCTTTGTGGTTATTATAGATAACCACACAATAGGGTTAATTAGAGTTATGGAATAACTTGGCAGACTTCTAGTAAGAAGGAAAGATATCATTATGGAAATTTAAAAGATTTATATTTGGAAAAGTAGTGTGAAAAATTTCAAATACATGTATATGTGCATTCGTGTGTCTACATAATTATGCTTGTCTTTGTGTTATCAGAAAAAAGAGAAAAACTAAGAGACAGTATAAAAGATTTTTAAATGAATAATATGGTAAGAATATGCATAAAATTAAGAAACAGTATAACAATGGTTTTCTACATGGATAACGAAGAAATTGATGGTAAGTGGGATTAATGAGTAGAATAAAGAAAGAAACAGAAAACATCTACATATTTTAGAAAATAAGAATTTCCTACAATTAAACATATTTTGCATGTGATAATATTTTTGCTTTTGATAAAATTGCTGTTATTTTATGTCAAATATTAACTTTTCTTAATATTTTCTGTTTAGAATTTTTTGTTGCTGTAGACAATTCATGTTCATTTGTTATTTCCTTTTTCATTATTAATCTCTCATATATTATATCCCAAATGCAGCTTTTCCTCTCTCCCCTCCCCCCAGCCTCTGCCCCATCTACATGCCACCTCAGTTTCACCTCAGAAAGCAGTAGGCTACCCAGGGTCATCAAGCAAACGCGGGCTAATACCCTACTGTAAGGCCAGGCACATACCTTCACATCAAGAATGGATGGGGCACCCCAGTAGGAGGAAAAGGGTCCCACTTTTAGGAGTTCCACAAGAGCACCAAATTACTCAGCCATAACATATATGCAGAGGACCTAGGTCAGACCTCCACAGGCTCCTGGATCTCTGTGAGTCCCCATGATTCCCAGTCAGTCGATTCTATGGGCCATGTTCTCCTGGTCCCTCACCTCTTTAGTTTCTCTGACCTTTTCTCTCCAGGCCTCCCTGGGCTCTGCCTAATGAATGACTGTGGGACTCTGCATCTGCTTCCCTCAGTTTCTGGAAGAAGTCTCTCAGGTATCTTTGATGAGGATTCCGCTAGGCTCCGGTCCCAGATCACTCTGTAGAAAGGACATACTGTATGTCTAAAGCTTTGTGGCTACATAGGTGTCTCTGTCCCTCTACTTGAGATCTTGCCTGGTTGCAGGAGGTGATGGGTACAAATTCCATGTCCTCCATTACTGGAAGTCTTTTCTAGTGTTAATTCCATTGTACTAGATTTCTACCTCATCCCCTAAATGCTCCCCAATTCCAGTCTTTTCTCCCAATGTTTTCTCTCCCTCAGTTTATCCCTCCTGTTCTATACTCCATCTGCCCTCAGTCTACCAGTGAAATCTATTCTATTCCCCCTTCCCAGAGAAAATCTTTGGTCCACCCTAAACCCTCCTTGTTACAGCCTCTTTCCATCTGTGGACCTTAGCATTATTATATTTATTTGGCAGCTAATATCCACTTGTAAGTGAGTACATACCATGTTTGTCTTTCTGTGTCTGGATTTTTCAAGTTCTACCCATTTGCCTGCAAATTTCATATCACTGTTTTTAACAGCTGAGGGACATCTAGGTTGTTTCCCATTTCTGGCGATTATGAATAATTGCTATTAACATAGGTAAGCAAGTATCCTTGTGGTATGATGGAATGACCTTTGGGTACATGCCTAAGAGTGGTGTAGTTGTATCTTGAGGTAGGTCAATTCATAACTTTCTGAGGAACTGCCATATTGATTTCTATAGTGGATGCATTCCCATCCACAATGTATGAATGGCCCCTTGCTCCACATCCTCACCAACATGAATGTCACTTGTGTTTTGATCTTAACTATTCTGACAGGTTTAAGATGGAATCTCAGAGTCACTTTGATTTTCATTTCTCTTATGGATAAGGATGTTGAACATTTCTTTAAGTGTTTCTCTGCCACTTGAGATTCTTCTGATGAGAATTCTCTATTTAGATTGGTAAGCCATTTTTTAATTGGATTATTTGCTCTTTTGATGTCTAGTTTATTGAGTTCTTCATATATTTTGGAAATTAGGTTTAGTGTAACTGGATTTGTGTTGAGGTCTTAGATTCACTTGGACTTGAGTTTTGTGCTGGGTAATAGACATGGATCTATTTGCATTCTTCTACATGCTTGTAGTCAGAGTTTCTGTTCTGTCTGGTCCTGCCACCTTTAAGCTCCAAATAAACACACAGAGACTTATATTAAATATAAACTGTTTGGTCATTGGCTTAGGCTTCTTACTGGCTAGCTCTCTCTTAATTATTAACTCATTTCTATTAAACTATGTATTACCACGAGGATGTGGCTTACCTGTAGTCCAGCATGTCACTCCTTCGACAGCATGGCATCTCCCTGGTGGCTTCTCTCTGCCTTCTTCTCACCAGAATTCTCCTTGTCTTGTAGCCCTGCCTACACTTCCTGCCTGGTTACTGGCCAATCAGTTTTTTATTCATCAAACAATAAGAGAAACATATATACAGAAGGACAATCCTCATCACATGCTGACATCCAGTTATGCCAGCGCCATTTGCTTAAGATGCTTTCTTTTTTCCATTGTATATTTTTTTTTCTTCTTTGTAGAAAATCAGGTGTCCATGGGTGTGTGGATTTACATCTGGGTTTTTTACTCAATTCATTGAGCCACTTGTCGGGATTTATGCCAATACCATGCTGTTTTTATTACTATTGCTCTGTAGTAGAGCTTGAAATCAGGGACTGTGATTCCTTTGAAAGTTCTTTTATTTTATAGGATAGTTTTAGCTATCCTGAGGTTTGTTTTTCCATATGAAGTTGAGTATTATTCTTTCAAAGACTGTAAAGAATTATGTTGGGATTTTAATAGGGGTTACTTTGAATCTGTAGAATGCTTTTGGTAAGATGGAAATTTTTACTATGTTAATTCTACCCATCCACAAGCATGAGAGATCTTTCCATCTTCTGACATCTTTTCTAATTTTTTTCTTCAAAGACTTGAAGTTCTTGTCATACTTGCTTGGTTAGAATTACCCTAAGATATTTTATATTTTGGGGAGCTAATGTGTATATAAGAGGGCTACTGAGGGTTTTTTTTAGTTAATTTTGCATTCAGCTACTTCACTGAAGGTGTTTATCAGCTATAGGAGCTCCTTGGTAGAATTTTTGGAATCACTTTTGTATACTATTATATCATCAGCAAATAGCAAAAGTTTGACTTCTTCCATTCTAATTTGTATCTCCATGATCTCCTTTGGTGGTCTTTTTTTATAGCTAGAGCATCAAGTACTATACTGAATGGATATGAAGAGAGTGGACAGCCTTGTCTTGTTCCTGACTTTAGTGCGATTGTTTTGAGTTTCTTTTATTTTTGTAGTTTCTTTTTTTAATTTTTTAAAAATTTAAATTAGAAACAAGATTGTTTTACATGTCAGTCCCCATTCCTTCTCCCTCCCCTCTACCCCTGCCCCCCACTAACACCCTACCTATCCAATACCATTTCTGCTCCCCAGGGAGAATGAGGTCTTCTGTGAGGGTCTTCAGAGTCTGTCATATCCTTTGGGATACGGCCCAGGCCCTCCCCTGTGTGTCTAGGCTGAGGGAGTATCCCTCTATGTGAAATGGGATCCCAAAGTCCATTCCTACACTAGGGATAAGTACTGAAATACAAGAGGCCCCATGTATTTCCTAGGCCTCCTCACTGACACCAAGTTCCATGCTAGATTCCCAGTGATCATTCTGGGGGCCAAGAGCACGCCCTTATTCAGGTCAGCTGTTTCTGTGGGTTTCACCAGCATGGTCTTGCTCATCATTCCTCCTTCTCTGCAACTGGATACCAGATAAGTTCAGTTTTTAGCTGTGGGTATTGACTTCTACTTCCATCAGCTGCTGGATGAAGGCTCTAGTATAGTATATAAGTCTGTTGGCTATAGGTTTCTCATAAATTGCCTTTATTGTGTTTAGGTATGTCCCTATTTCCCTTATCTCTCTAGAACTTTTATCATAAAGAAGTGTTAGATGTTGTCAAAGGCATTTTCAGAATCTAATGAGATTATCATGTGTTTTTTTTTTTCTTTCGGTTTGTTTATATGGTAGATTACATTGACAGATTTTTGTATGTTGAACCATCCGTGAATCTCTGGGATGAAGTCTACTTGATCATGGTAACTGATCTTTTTGATGTCTTCTTGGATTTGGGTTGTGAGTATTTTATTGAGTATCTTTACATCAATGTTCATGGGGGAGACTGGACTGTAATTTTCTTTCTTTGTTGACTCTTTGTGTGGTTTGAGTATCGAGTAACTATATCCTCACAAAAAGAATTTGGCAATGTTCCTTCAGTTTCTATTTTATAGAATAATTTGAGGAATATTGGTATTAGCTCTCCTTTCATGTTTGGTAGAATTCTGCAATAAAAGTGTCTGGCCCCGGGCCAGAATTATAGTGACATTCTTGACATCACAGTTTTATCTACATAACGTGTTTTTCTTGTATTTTCAGAAAGTCATTTCATTGGTTTAAATTCTTGGGAATGCTGTTATTTGGTCAAAGTGGATATTTTTATAACTCTTGGAGCTCGTCACTAATTTCATTCTCTAGTAGAAAATAATATATATTATTATAAGAAATGTGCACTCTTAATTTTTGAGTTCTATTGCATTTTACCTTCAAAAATTCAATTGATAAGGGAGGTATGATTTGTTGCTCAATGTAGATTTATTCTATTTTGTGATAGTGTTGCTGTTTCACTTCTGTTAGTATTACCTGACTACATTTCCCTTGGGTTTTGGCATTATTCTTTATAAACTGATATTTAAAATTCATTTTAGTTATTTAATATTTTGAGAACATATAGTAGCTTTTGAGGAGTGAGATCATGAAAATTTGTGCAAATGGAGTGCTGCCTGGACACCCTCAGTTACAAACAAAAAGACACTACTAGACTGCAAGGGGTATAGGGGAATCCCAGAAGAAATGACATGTGAGCTGTGTCTATTGTGTGTTGACTTATCTTATGTTTCCGTTACATTTTCTTCTTATGCTTGTACATTTAAATTTACTTTCTGTATCTCACAGGGATGTCCCATCACTTTCATTTAATACTCTATATTTTAATATTTTGGTTTCTAATTTTTCTCCTTATTGAATCTATGTGTTATAGGGACTAGCGCCATCATACAATTGAGTAATTAGCACACATTAGGCAGTGAATTTTTAATGTATGAATCAATTAATCTCAAGTGGAATAACTGGCCAAGTCAGTGTTGTTGATAAGCATGGTCACTGCCCTCATAAGTCATGATTGCAAATATTAGAAGAAATGGGCATACTTGTTCCCTTATTGTCTGTGAAAATTGTACAAGGACTTTGAAACAAATTTCTATGTCTGCAGATAATTAGGTATTAGTTCAATAAGTTTTTGTTATTTTCTATAATAGAACATTCTTTGGGGGAGCAGTGAATTTTCTTTGTTTTCTTTTTCTTTATTCTTCTCTCATATAATATATCCACACCTTAGTCTCCTCTTGTTCTCCTCCTCCTGACAGTCCTCTCCTGACACTCCCTCTCCCCTGCTCCTTTGTTTCCATTTAGAAAAGAGCAGGTATCTGTGATATCAATCAAACATGGTATAAGAAGATGAAGGAAGACTAGACATAAATTCTCATATCAAATATCAAGGCTGAATGAGACAGGACAGTAGGAAAAAAGAGTACCACAAGCAGGCAAAAGTGTCAGACCACCCCTCTCTCATTGTTAGAAGTCTAACAAAAACTGCAACCTAAACAACCACAGCATGTATGCAGAAGGCCTATCAGACCCATGCAGACTCCATGATTGCCACTTCAGTCTCCGTGAACTCTTATGAGTCCTGCTAATTGATTTTGTGGGCCTTGTTCTCCTGGTGCCCTTGTCGCCTCTGGTTCTTATAATCCTTCCTCCATCTCTACCAGAGTGTTTCTGGAGCTCCATATAATATTTGGCTGTGCATCTCTGCATCTGCTCCCACCCAGCTTCTGGAGGAAGCCTCCCTGAGGAGAATTGGGCTAGGCACTCATCTATGAGTATAGCAGAATATCAGTATGAATCATTTCATTGACTTTTTTAAAATCAGTAATGTTTGGTTCTGTTCTAGGCCTCTAAGCCACTCAGTTTTCAGATTCTGAACATCCAGGTAGTGTAGAACTTTCTAATACATAATGAACTTATTTAAAATTTTGCTATATTTTACCATTTCATAGAAGTATGTTCTATTAACTACTTTTGGTTTATGTATTTTATGTATTATGGCTTTCAGACTCATCTCTATTATGGCTACCTGTTTAGCAACAAATACTGGTTTATAAACACCCCAACATCATAGGTGATTTCCATTAGTCTTGGTCACCCTTTAGAACTTTAGGATAAGATTCAATTGCTGAAGTCAGAAGTCACCATATACTGAGTGATAGATGATGGGTAAATCTGACTGGTAGATTCATTTTTGCTGGCTAGCTTTTACAGTGCTAGAACATGCTATGCATGCTACCAGAAGAGAAAAACAATTATCAGTCTCACCCATCTGTGAATGCTGAAAATTACAATGACCTGTCTGGCAAGATAGCCCTGGTGAAATAGTGGAATGAATGGTTGGGAGTAACCATCCACTTTCTGGTTGGATTTAAGGTCTGCTACATGAGATAGAACCAATACCTGGCACTATCAACAAGGCCAAGAACCTGTGCCTAGGTAGGTCATAGACCTCAGGGGAAAACCTACTATTATTCTGCTAAATGAACACAGCAATTAAATGACTCCTAATGATTTATTACTATGTCCATTGATGATTTAACCATTACAAGAGAAGTTTCTTCTTATAGTTGATGATGATTGACATAGAAACCCACAAATGGAAAAAATGCAGAGAATAAGAGGCTTTGAAGTGCCCAATTCTAAGTGAGATGCCTGTATTACATCCCTCCCCTTAAGACTCAGGGATCATCATGAAACAGTATCTTCATCAAGTATTGTGGACTTTTCTTTCCCACCCACCAGTTCCCAAATAACAGATATGGAGACTTAATATTAATTATAGATGCTTGCCCCATAGCTCAGGCTTATTACTAACTAGCTCTTACAACATAAATCAACCTATTTTTGTTAATCTACATATTGCCAAATGGCTCATGGCTTTACTTGTCTTCCAGCATGTCTTGCTCCCTCTCCATCTTCTGGCAACTCTTTCTTCTCCATTGTTTTTCATCCTAGCATTCTCTCTGCCCTCCCCAAATCCTGCCTAGCTATTTACCAAACAGCTTTTTATTAACAATGAGAGCAATACATTTTCACGGTGTACAAGATTATTCCACAGCTATTAAGTGTAGTAAAGATAACCTCAGAGACACCAAAACATGTTGTTGATTTAAGGAATGAAATTATAGATTTCCTCTTGGATTATTTTGACCATGAGCAGGCCTAAGTTCGAGTTCTCTACTTGTGTCTTTCAACTGTCTATAGTTTGTGTTTGATAGTTTATCTGTACTTCTGTTCCTCACAAAGGGCTCTAATTTGTGTATATTGAACATCGCAGAAAGAATCAAATAGAAAAGGAATTAGGAATGTCTTATAGAAATCTTCAAAGGAGTTTTTACAAGGGATTAAATTACAAACTTCACCTGACTCTAACTGACCTTGAAGTACTCACTAATGAAAACAAGCTATTTGTATGTTAATCCCAACATTTATGATAGATGTTTGTTGTATAGATTGCTTCTAACCTACTGCCTGATTTAAGGATTGTGTACTATGATTAACTGAGATATATAGCTGAGATGCATGGGTAGTTCAACATTAATGTGATATAATGCACTAACTGAAGAATAAAATAAGATCACTTCAATAGATTTAGAAAAATACAGAGAATAAGCAGTACCTTTTTATGACTGAAAACTCTCAACTACTCAGAAAAGTTGAAAACTATTTCAACATTACATCGGTCATGTATGGAAAACTCATGATTTGATCATATGTAATGGTGAAAGCTCCAAATATCAGAAAATACACAATGTGTCAACTGTCACCACTTCTATATATCATATAGATATGATATTGAAATTCCTGGGCATAGCAATCAGCGAAGAGAAACAGGAATGCAAATAAGACAGAGACAAGTAGAATGACCCATATTTGCTAACTATGCAATATGAGACAAATACTAAAGATGCCCCAATGGAAAAAGTCCCAAGACAAAACAAAACAAAAGTTCATTAGACTTCATAGGAAAATTCAGTGTGAGGTAAAAACATATAAAATCACCAAGAAAAACAATCACATTTCTATGTGGTAACAAAAAATTATGTCCATTTGCAGTAACATCAAAATTAACAAATTGCTTAGAGACAAATTTAAGTAAGGAAATAAAAGACTTACAGTCTTATTCCAATATTCTTTCTGTTTCTGGGATAAAACATGGACCAGAACCATCTTGGAGAGAGATGGTTTAATTTCAGCTTTATCGACAGTCCATCTTTGAGGGAATCCAAACCAAGGACTCAAGCAGGAACCTGGAGGCAGGAACTGAAACAGAGACCAAGGAGGAACGATGGTTACAGGCTTGTTCCTCATGGTTTGCTCCATCTACCTTTCTCACACAGTCCAGGCCCATTTGCTCAGGAATGACACTAACCAGCAACCCTAAAATTCCACACAGATATGCCCACAGACTGGTCTTGTGGAAGCAATTTCTCAACCTTTTTTCCAAGGACTCAGTTTTTAAATGTCCAGTTTTTGCAATGTAACCTTTGAAACAATTCCAATTTTGTGTATTGACCTTTTTTGTTTATTTTGTTTTTTTGCCCTTCTATAAACTGTTAAAGATGATCATACACCAGTATTTGCTAACCCTCCCTTTAGACTAATGCTACCAACATACCACAAGATAGAAAACTATTAACATCTGTGAGGGAAACTGAAACAGATGACTCCAAGAAGAAATGGGAGCTTGACATCTGAATACAGTGTAAAGCTTTGCCATATTGTTGAGCCGCTCTGGGTGTAGCACCGGTCCAAAGCCCCACTTGGCAGTGAGCAGAGATTCATGCAACTCTTTCAGAGCAAAGGCATTAGTAACCCATTGAGCAAAGAGACAGTCACAAAAAAAAATGATTGGCTCTGAAGTTGTTTCCACCAATATAGGAACATCCTCCCTTGCTTCTGCCCATCGGAAAGATGTTAGTTTCCATCTGATACTTTTAGCCTCATCCATATATGCACACACAACTCCATTATTACAGCTATCTGAGAATGCAAATTGTAACAATCATATATATATATATATATATATATATATATATATATATATATATGCCTAACATATTTGTTGAATTTTAAAGGCTGTGAGAGCTGGAGTGAGGCTGTAGTTTGTAATCTATATCATGAAATGAAGAACAGATGATCTGAGAATGAACATTTGTTGGAAGGATCTCTCTGGGCTTAAATATTTATTTTACTTCCTCCAGCTCCCTCCCTTTTGACAGAGTATTATGCTTGCCAAAATCTACAGTATGAAACCATGTGAAGTTTGTGACAAAATCACCTCAAATTGCTACCATAAATTATTACCTCCTACATAGTCTTTCTCTGCAATGTGCAATTAATCAAGGAAAAGACTTATTCTTTCTAATTTAAATAGTTGTCTTTAAGTGTTTTATTTTAGGTGTGAAAATGGCTGTTGATTCCGGGGGAACATGCAAGGTCACCCTACACAATGTACAGTGCTTTCATTTCTGTCTCCAGAGTATAGAGTTTGATTCCAAGGAAGGGAAGCCCCTTCATGTTCAGGCCAAGTGGAATCTAGGATTGTAAAAATTCCAGATTGTAAGAATCATCTTGATGGAGAATTCACAAGGCAGGTTTTTGGGAGACTCTGAGGAACTAACTTCCTACTTTCGCCCCCCCCCACCTTTTTTTCAGAGCATGGGGAGAATTCCATTGATTTTTCTTAGGTATTTACATGTTAAGGTAAGTTTATGCTCAGCTCCTGCACCTTCGCAAATACTCACCTGTTTAGTCATCCTTTTATTCATTCATTCTTCCATTCATCTGTCCATCTAACCATTTTCAACTTGGAAAACATGTTGATTGCAGATTTACCAAATGTGTGTAGTACATGACCCTGAAATTTCAAATAGGAGAGATGATTTCTAGCATTAAAAAGCTTGTTCAATAAAGATGCACAAATGCCATATACTTCACTTTCTAAAACTTATATGAGGACTAAGCAACGGGCCATATCAGAATATAATTAATCAGTGCTCCACACGAGATTTCTCAGATTCCATCTCCCATGGCCCTAGAGGCTTGCAGTGCACCAAATTCCTCCTCAGGACACACACTTTGACCCAGCCATGTATGCACTTTGTGTTCCTTGCACATTTGGTCCTTGCAATTTCTTGTCTAGATGAACTCATTCATGTTATCCATGGGTACTGAACAAGCTTTTTCTAATTCTAGGGCCCCGATAAAGTTCCAAATCTTTCAGAGAAACATTCTTTATTTTCTTATTTCCGACCCCCTCCCTCCCTTCTACCTGGGTATTCTTCATAATTCTCTTGTCCCCTTTGCTTTTGTATTTGAAGGAGTACCTTTGCTATTGTAGGAATGTGGAGATTTGTGCCACTAAACTTTGGACCTTAATGAAAATACAATCAAGCTTTGCAAACTGTTTGAAGATTGGAACTTGCTTCACTGTTACACAATGTATTTTCAGAATTACCCCCTTAAAGCATGAAGAGGATTGTACCAGTGTGTGTGTGTGTGTGTGTGTGTGTGTGTGTGTGTGTGTTTAAAAGCAGCTAATGATTCTCCATAGCCCTTTAGAAGAATTGTCACATTTTGAGCCTGGCAGTGAAGGTCATTCAAGACTTGGCTTCAGTTTAGCTTTCTTGTGGCACCTTGCAAATCTTCCAAAGCCTTCTGAATTACATGAAATTCCGTAGGCACATGTGTTCTCACACAGGTAAGCCTTTGCATGAATGTTTTCTTTCTCTGAAACACACCCATCTCAATATTCAACCTACAACCTGCTGTCCTATTTACTGCTCTATTGCCATGACAAAACACCCTAACAGTGTGACAAAGCAACATATAGTATTCAGCTGTTTAACTGGGAACTTGCTTACAGTTTCAGGGTTAGGGTTAGTCTACATAATGATGATGGTGGAGAACATGGTGGCAGAAAGGCAGGCATGGCACTGGAGCAGTGTCTGAGAGCTTATCTCCAGTCTGAAACTGCAGGCAGAGAGAGAGGAGAGAGAGGGAGGGACTGGTCTTGGCATGGGTTTTTGAAACCTCAAAGTTCACCCTCTGTGACACACCTTCCCCAACAAGGCTACACCTCTTAATCACTCCTAAACAGTCCAATAGTCCACTAACTGGGAAACAAACATTCAAATATATGAGCCTTTGGAGACTATAACCATTCAAAATATTGCAGGTCTCAGTTTTGGAGTAACTTTCTTTAGGGAACCTTCCTGGTCCCATAAGACCAAGTGTCTTAAATATGGTCCCATTACCTGTTTGCTAATGAAGCATGCTGGGTACTCTTTCTATGTTAACATGCAACAGGTGTGAACAGTGTGTAACTACATCCAGTGAATGCTTGTTCAGTTAAAAAGGTTTAGTTCAGTTACTGTAATTTCCCTCAGGAAATGCAGAGAGAGAGGCTGGATGGTCACTATTATGACTCACCACATGGTGAAATAGCACATAGGATCTGGAGAGAAGCAGCTGGTAACTGCAGCCATTTATCTCTATCACATATGTACAGCTCCAATTTTTCTTGATTTTTATTTGAAGCATAGTTTCTATAATTGCAGTGAGTATAGATCCAAAGCACCCTTTGCTAACAGCTACATCAGCAGTGAAAAGCTAAGGGACCAAGCTAGCCTTAACAGTTTTTCTGTTTAGTTTTTCTTTGGGTTAGGTTCTTTATGTCTCAAGAAACTACTAAACTTTAACGTAACCCACAGACAGTGTTCTCAGTAGCTGGGCCAACAGTGACCAAGACGTTGGGGATCATGTCTTTCCTGCAGGATACCCAAATTCTAAAAGCTATTGTTAAGTGAACTAAGGGATCCAGGGCCAGAGGATCAACTCCCCAGATGTGACTACTTGTGGAAGATTGTGTGATTCACAAATTAGAAAAAATCAGACTGGTCCCTTTCATAGCCAGTGCATGTGTATACATGTGTGTGCATGCATATGTGCACTTTTGTGTAAGGGGACACATCAGTCCTGAAATTGTACATTGGATGTTAATGTGAATCCAACCACAGTTTAGAGAAGTAGGGATCTCTAAGTCACATATTTAAACCCACCTCATATTACCTTGTTTTACAATTATCAATGCTTTGAACATTGAAATGGAAAAATCTCAGAAAACTAGGGAAGACTGTCTTTAGAAATAAAGAGACCCTGTGTCTAAGCAAGCCCTCTGTGATGAAAGAGGTAGACTTACTTGGTTCCTTAAAGTGTTCAGAGGGAAAGATTCTGTGGTTCTGTTCAGTTACTAGAAAATTAAACCGCCCCCTTGAGGTCATTCAGTTTCTCTGTCATTGCCCTGTTGCAACAGTCTGGACTCCTGTTCTCTCTTGGCATCTTGACTATGAGTGACAACATTGTTGAATGTGTTATAGTAAATGAAGCAGACTTTCACCGGTCAGCACAGAGAGGCTAGGCAAGAGAGGAAGATATGAATAAATAAAATCTAAAATTTTCTCCAAAAATCATAGCTACTAATAATTTTTACTTTTTTTCTTCAACAAACTGTCAAAAGGCTACTTAAAGGAGGAGACTTGAGTTTCTTGGGTTTTCTTCTTTACTCATTTAATCTCTCTTTGAGGTGAAAATAGTCACTGTGATCCCCAAAGGCCAGTGAGATGGTGAGAGGTGGAAAAGCCATGGATGTAGACAAACTGGAAGCAACATTCATGCATTTACAAATGCTTCCGGTTTGGGGCTTATTAATCTGCTTTCTTTAGTTGTCCTATGACTTCATTTAGCATTTTATAAGTTGCTCAATCACTGTGTATGCAATGACATTTTAGAGCGAACCACCCAGCCTTGTAAACACTGGTCTTCATTGAGAAATGGTGAAAGTCATTTTGAGATTAAAGTTAGAGAATGACATAATGAGTAGATGCTACAAAGAAACTTAAGTTGGCATTTGTGTGTGTGTGTGTGAAAATGGGACAATAAATGATAGTTTCTCCCAAGTAATTAAAAATGTAGCCAATTAAAACCATGCAAATTTACATTAAGTAGAAGACCCTCAAATTTTACATTTCCTGACTGGTAGGATTAAACTTTCAAAGAAAGTGTGAATTAATGCAAATGCTAGCATGGCATCTCTGAAATCCTTTTCTACTTTTACCACCAAGAAGAGAATATAGAAAAGTGAAAATACATGATGCCAGGCCAGTCTCCACTGCTTTTGTCATTTGTCCAAGGAATACAGCATGCTTAGGAACCTTGGAGAATATAGTAATTTCAGGTATCACACACAAGGCTCCAAAGGCGTTTTTTGGGTTGGGGGGAGGGTTGGGTTTTTCAAGTCAGGGTTTCTCTTTCTTTGTGTAGCCCTGGCTGTCCTGGAAATCTCTCTGTAGACCAGGTTGGCTTCAAACTCAGAGACAGTTATTAAATCTTAACCAATTGTTCTTTGCTAAGAATGTTGATTGAACATCTAACTGGTGATAAGTCCATGTCTTGAAAGCTTGATTTTCAAGAAAGTTATCTTATGAACTGGAATTCTAGGCAGTTCAATGTGCAGACATTCCTAACTTACAATGATTTGCTTGATAATTTTCATTTTACTTTGTAGCAGAGTGAAATACTAATACACAGTAGAAACTGCACTCCAGATTTTGAATTTTGGATCATTCCCTGCTTAATAATATGTAGTATGAAACTGTCTTGTGAAGGTGGGCAGTGGTGATAGGCTGTGTCTCCCAGTTAGCCATGACATTATGAAGGGGAAGGACCAATATTGCACAGTATTCTGTGGTGGTCTGCAAGGTAAGCGCATTAAAGGCATTTTTAACTTAAAGTGCTTTCAACTTACAATGAGTCAATCATAATTTGACTATTATTGTACACACGTGTTCTAATATACACTTTCTTGCATTTATAGATGTGGCTACATAGTACAGAGTCAACTTCATGTGACATAACCATGGACTTAACGCTCACTGGCAGGAAATTTCTGACTGATTCTATATTTCCAAAGACTTTCATGTCTCAATCCATCTGTGAGGCCTCCCTCTTTACTGTCTATAGGAGTCTTCCTAGAATGGCTGAAGAGTTTCTCTAACCTCAGTGGAAAATTTATCTACATCTTTCTTCTGTTTGTCCCTGCTCTATTGTGATCAAGGTGCTATGACAGAAGTTGTAGTAGTTAACTTTTGTGGTACTGAGAGTAAAATACCTGAGAAAAAAACTGAAGCTAGGGAAGACTTGTTTGGCTCACACATTTCAGGCCATCACACAAAAAAGACAGGCATAGTGGCTGGATATGTGGCGGCAGGAGCATGGATGCAGAACCCCAGCACAGGAATTTTGACAGGACAACAGATGGCACACTGGGATCAGGGGCTCAGTTACAACTGTCAAAGGCTAGATCCCAGTAACCTATTTCTGCCAGCTAGGCTTTGACTCTTAAGGGTTCTGCAGTCTCCCAAAATACACCATGCACTGGGAGTAAGCAATTCAAAACATGAGCCTGTGAAGGATAGTTCACTTTTCTACAGCAGTCCTTGTTGCTAACTGAGATCTCACATTTGTGATGCCTGGCTGGGGAAGTGCAGGTGTCTACAGGGCTATAAGGTCAGATCTGTGCAAATTCATCTGCTTGGACCTTGAAAGCCTCAATGCTAAGTTTATGGTTTCAACTGATGGTGTTAACTGTAAGAAAACAAAGGCATTTGGATTCCAGATGGATAAGTGCTAGTGCTTCCTTTATGATGACCATCAGGAACAGTACTTTGAGGGTCACCTCTTCTCTGCTTTGCTTGTTTGTCACTCTCCATGAACACACAGGAGTGTTGCTTCCCATTGCTGCCTGCTCATTTCCCCACTGTCTCACTGACGTTAAATATTTTGTAACCAGCAAATGCAAGTGCTCGTGCTTTACTTTTATGAAGATTCATGTAAGATACAATTTCCCCCAAATGTTTTGCATTTTAAAAGCTGGAATCATCTGTCAGAAATAAATGTCTATCTGCTAAATCAAAGACACAGAAAAATACAGTGCTTGAAAACTGCGTTTCCATAAGAACACAAGTTATAATGACCCATAAAACACCCCCTCCAGCACAATCTCTTTATTCAGTTTAAATCACTTTTCATTTCTGTAGCCCACTCTCTCCTGACAAGAAATGCATTCATTATTTTTTTATTTCTCACAGATGAAGATCGCTTAGGAAAGTCAAAGTTTTATGGTTCAGCCATGTTAGAAGTAGTGTTACTTTACATTTTCCTCATTGGGTTTCTAAGAGTCCTGTCCCATGTTGGGTTTCTGAGACAGCATGCTAGTCAGCTAGACAGGTGAGAAGGATGTGTATTATGGGTTAGCATCAATAGAATGTTTCAGGATGGGGGAGAAGTTGAGCTTAAGTTCAGGCCTGTCAGATTCAGAGAGCTCTGAGGACATGTGTTACATTGAAGTTCTTCCACAGTGGCTGAGGGCCAAACCCTATTTTCTTGCTGCAAGGACGTCTGTCATGGTCCAAGCCTGGGAGACTGTGGCCTTGGTTGAGCAGAGTACCTGCACCTGAATAGAGTCTGTGGGAACAAATCTTGAAGAAGTTGACAACCAGAAGCCAATTGTCAAGTACTGTCCATCTCTGAGTGTTCATTCATTCTTTGAGAGGTCTAACCTTCACACCTCTGTATCCACAGCATACAGATACAGGTTAATGAAGCAGGTTCTAAGCATGAATCTCACGTTTTCTCTAGGTATATTTGAGAACCAGAATAATAGTGACTTACCAACTCATGGATGGAGGGTTTAAGGAAGGCTTTCCTATGCATCATAGGGTGTTTTGTTAAATAGTCCAGGTCTCCACCCACTAACTGCCCGTAGTGGTCTCTCTGGTGACAATCAGAAATGTCTTCAGATTTTGGCAAATTTCTCCCAGAAAACAAAAACCGTCCCTGGGTAAGAACTATTGTGTTATGTGGACAAAAAAGTATGCCTTTATTTTCACAATTTAAATTTATGATATGATTGAACAGTGAAAACATAAATCTATCTTTTATATTATAAAGAGTCATTCACAGACACAGTATGAATCAAGAAAAATGACTGGCAAACAGGTTAGGAGTAAAGGAATTCTGTGCTTAGAGCTAGAAAGTTAGGAAGCAAGCATTAAATTAAATGACTTTGTCTGAGAAGAGATGTGATATTGCTGGTCATCTTTTCCTTTGCTTCCCTGTCTTGACACTAATGTATCTGGTCCAGACAACTAATAATCTAGGTGAGGATATTGCATGGAAGGTGAACTGGCTACTCTTATGTCAACTTGACACAAGCTAGAGTTATCTGAAAGGAGGGAGCCTCAATTGAGCAAATGCCTTCATAAGATCCAGCTGTAAGGCATTTTTCTTCATTAGTGATTGATGTGGGAGGGCTCAGCCCATTGTGGGTGGTATCATGCCTGGGCTGGTGGTTCTGGGTTCTATAAGAAAGCAGCCTGAGCAAGCCATGGGCAGCAAGCCAGTAAGCATAGGTCTACATGCTATGGCCCTCTATGGCCTCTACATTAGCTCCTGCCTCCAGGTTCCTCCCCCATTTGAGTTCCTGTCCTGACTTCCTCAAATGACAATGATCTGCAAGTGTGTGATGGAGAATGTACTTCTGTGTATGTTTACATTATTGATTGTTGAATAAAGTACTGTTTGGCCAATGAGGCAGCAAGTTAGATGGGACTAGGAGTCAAAGAGGATTCTGGGAAATGTAGTTGGGAAGTGGTGATCCAGACAGGAAGTGACATAGTAAGGAGACTCATATTTAAGCATGGAGAAACAGAAAGTGGCCCCTTTCCCCTTCGCTTCCTCCAGCAGCCATATGATCCACTGCCAAGGGAGGACAGCAATGGAAGGTGTCTGATAAGATAAGTCTTATAAAATATATAGATTTATGATAATTAAGACTGAGATAACAGATGAGAAATCCTAGTCATTGGCCAAGCAGCATTTAAACCTAATATAAGTCTCTGTATTATTTTGTCCATTCATGCGGCAGGCAGAACTTGGGCAGCTGGCGCAAAGTGCACACTTGGCTATGGGGCTTGGGTGGCTTTTTTGGGGAAAGATTTATCTTAACAAGTGTAAGCCAATTAATTCTTTTCTTCCCAACTAGTCTGTCTAGCATCAAAAGAAACCCTAACTAAGAAAAGGGATATCCAACTAGTTTAATAACTGAAGTAAAAAGAAATAATCTAAAAATTTGAAATAGATGATTTTATTCCCCACCTCCAACTCTAGATGTGGACGACAGCTATTTCCATCTAGGTACCATGTCAGCAACTGATGTAAAAGTGATGTAGGTATCTTACATGTCTTTTCAGATTGATCCTTATTCTCTGTCAGGTGTGGAAATTAAGTACATGAAAATAGAATTTAGGTGCATCTAAACAGGAGGCATTACATTTCCACAAATGTTTTCTTCATGGGCACTGAGGAACCAATGGTGAGGATCACAGAATGTATGAGGTCGGTTTCCCATAACAACATGAGCTGGAAACTGAAACATTCTCCCAAGATCCATCAGGGTGAATGTGTCTTGACCTCCAACATGCAGAAAGAAGAGTTGCATATGGGATGTCGGAATGTCACAGGAGATGGCTAGAGAAGCAACAGAAAATATATCACTGGAGTGAAGCCCCATGCAAAGCTTTCCACCTTCGATGAAGAAGAGTATTGGGAGCTCCCAGATTCCTGAGACCTTGGTTTCACTCATTGTGGGCTCAGTTGCTTGTTGGCAAGGATCAAGTGCTGCTGCTAGTGTGCAATATCTTGGTGATTACTAGAGACATAAATACTGGTGAAAGACCCCTGGAGGCTCAGGCCTCCAGGATCTCAGCCCAGGACTGCGACTACCCCAATCACCAGGCGGAGGCAAAAGCTTGATGCAAACAGCAAGAGGCTTTATTGTAGTTGTTTAATGAGCTAACCCCATTAGCTTGGGCCTTTCATCCATCCCCCATGGCGGATGGCTAGGAAAGATGGTGAGAAGCCACTGCATAGAGATCTTATAGGGCAGTGTAAGGGGAGTGTCCAGGGGTACGTACAGGCTCAGGATTGGTGTGGCTCCAGGCTTTCCCTGTGTTGACTGGTCAACTGGTTGTTATGGCCCATAGGCCCTACCAGGACAATTACTATGCTCTTTGCGTCATTGTTGTGCACTTGTCTGTAAAGCACACCCAGAGACATAAAGCATAGCACCACCAGCTAACTTCTGATTGGTTCCTTGCCGAAAGGCAGGCATCTGACCAAGGCAAGGTCAGGCAAGCATGTGCTAGGCTGTTATGGCTGCTGAAATGGGGAGCTGTTCCCTTCACTGGCACATATGAGAACACTGTGCTAATCTGAGTATTTTATTAGTACATTTCCAGAGAATGTCTCTTCCAGGGCCTGACAGGGCCCATATTTTCAAGTCAACATAAATCATCAGTCACTCACAAGAGGCAGAAATATCAGAGGAGAGAATGGAGGTGAGGAAGCACACCCAGCAGCTTTATCTAGCAAATGGCTGAGGGAATTTTTTCTTTCTAGAAAGACTTTCTAGATATGAGAATAGTGAGAGATCGTGATTTTTCTGTCTATAGCACAAGCCATAGACACAGCATCTTCTTCCATTCCTCATGTAATCCCTGGAAGGTTGAGATAACAGAAGCTCCAGAGGTGGACAAACCTGTCAATGCCCTGAGTAACCCCTTCTAATTGAGGCTGGCCCTGTATGACAAGTGTATCAGGTGTCTCAAGTCTTAGATCCAATTAGTTCCAAATTATAATGAGGAATATAAGTGTTTAGTTTACCAAAATCTCACTGCATTAGGTTTTATTTTATAATGCTTGTATGATATTCATACAATTTTCCTCTCCCGTAGGTAAAGTAAAGTAGCCTAGTGGTTATGGAGTTGGATGGGGTAGTAGATTCTCATCTGATTATTTGACTTAGGGGAATAAATCATTTATCTCTGAGAAAGGGAAAAGTTTCCACTCAGATCATATGCTTGGTGAGAATCGCACATTAATGCACTGTTATTTATTATAAGTCTTATGCAATATTTACCTTTAAAAGTTGTTTATTTTGCCAAGTGTAGAGTGAGGTGGGGGAAGATTATTTTATGATTTGTACTTAGTTTCTTTAGGATTTTGTCAGCAGCATATTTTTGGTTTTCTGAGAAAATGAGTAGGTGTAAAAATGGGAACATCTCAAATTGAATGAAATAAACAAATTAGGCTGGGGTGATGGTTCAAGCACAAGGACCTGAGTTTATCTCCTATCGTCCACGTACAAATTAATCAAGGCACCATGGCTCATGTTCATAACTGCAAGGCGGGGCTTGGCTGATAAACACAGATCCCCAGAGCTTAAGAGAGTTGAATAAGGGAGCACAGGGTCTAGGAGAGGCTCTGTCTCAAAATTGGAGAAAGAGTGATAGATGACGACATCTAACCTCAGCCGCTTGCCTCCACACACACACACACACACACACACACACACAACTACACACACATTTGCACACACACAAACAATGAAATGATGAGGTTGAGAAGAATGAATGATGGCTGTGGTGATATTCTTTGCTTTTAGTGTTCTAAATGTTGCATGCTCATTAACTAAAGAGAAAGTCATATAAATGAGAGAAGAATGAAAAACTGGAGAGGTAGTTTTTTTCCAAAGAACCCTTTATTTTTATTTTTAACAATGTGTATTAACTCCTATTAGCTGTTTATAGCATATTGCCAATTACAACTCTTAACAGAACAACTTAGACTCGTGTTTTCCCCAAGAGTGTTGTGGAAGTGTATTTGGGCTCATTCATCATTTCTCTTATAATGTAGTTTGCACTTATTCATTCAAATTCTTGCCATTCAAAGTATGTGTGTGATCCAGTAACAAAAATATCTCCAGGGAGCTTGATTAGAAAATTAAGAAATTTTGAACTAGAAGGTTCTTCATCTTCAACTGAATCAGAGACAAATGAGTTCATGCTTCATGGATTTATCTCAAGTTATGAATTACTGGAGACAAAAATGAATCAACTTTTCTCAACCTTCATAACTGTTTCAATATCACAAACTATGTGTGCATGTGTGCATGTGTGTGTGTGCGTGTGTTCGTGTGTCTGTGTGTGTGTGTGTGTGTGTGTGTGTGTGTAGGTACACTTGTATATAGGTACACATTCTCATGTATGCCCACAAAAGCCAGTGGACAATCTGGGCAATCATCTGGGGTATCATTTCTCAGGTATTATTCACCTCGTTTTTTGTTGTGATGATAGCTTTTGTGTTTTTTAGCAAGGTCTCTCTTTTTTCTGGAGCTCACCATAAGCTAGTAATCCAAAGACATCAATTTAAAACAAGTGCTACAACTTGCCTGGCCTTTTAGAATAATGTGGGATCTTATGCAAGCCAGGAAAGCACTCTACTGGCTGAGCTAGCTTTCTGATGGGGGAAGTCGTTCTGTGTATATGTTTTCTTATTGGTAAATAAAACATATTGATAAATAAAGCACTGTTGGCCAATATAGAAGTAAGATAGGTGGGAGATCTGAACTCTGCAGTGGGACCCAACACACCTGGACACTGCCGAGGCCCCGGTAACAGTTCTGCCTCCATCCACCGGTCCAGGTAGGCCTAGGGCTATTTCCGGTTCCCGTTTGGCGGCCCTAATCAGAGACATCTGACAACAGGGTTCTGCTCACCGGATCTGAACTCGGCAGCGGGATCCCACAGACCTGGACACTGCCAAGGCCCCTGTAACAGTGCCACCTCCATCCATGACAAGAGGACAGACATCAGAGTATTGGAACTGTTTGCATCTATCAGAAGGGAACCTTGGTCCCATACCTACCTGGAGAGGAAGAGACTCCTGCTACACCCACCAGAAGAAAGGATGAGTAGAGGATAATGTAAAAGCACATTCAACATCAGAAAACCCAGTATGACACCACTGGAGACTAGAAACCATACACTAGCAAGACCTGAACATCACAATGCAGACGAAGCAGAAGAGAATGACCTTACACACATCTTCATGAAAATGATAGAGGACTTCAAAGAGGACATGAGAAAATACCTTAAAGAAATGGAAGAAGACACAAACCCCAAAATACAAGATATCAAAAAATCTCTGAAGACCTAAAAACTGAAATACAGACAAAAAAGAAAGCACAATCTGAGGGAATGCTGAAAATAGAAAAGCTGGGTAAACCATCAGGAACTACAGATGTAAGCATAACAAACAGAATTCAAGAGATGGACGAGAGAATCACAGGGGTTGAAGACACACTAGGGGAAATAGACTCATCAACCAAAGAAAATCTTAAGTCCAACAAATCCCTAACAAAAAATATCCAGGAAATATGGGATACCATAAAAAGACCAAACATAAGAATAATAGGTATAGAAAAAGGTGAAGAAATCCAACTCAAAGGCGCAGAAAACATATTCAACAAAATCATAGAAGAAAACTTTCCCAACCTAAAGAAAGACATGCCAATGAAAATACAAGAAGCCTATAGAACACCAAATAGACTGAACCAAAAAAGAGGTTTCCTTGCCACATAATAATCAAAACACCAAACATACAAAATAAAGAGAAAATATTAAGAGCAGCAAAGGAAAAATGTCAAGTAACCTATAAAGGCAAACCTATCAGAATCACACCTGACTTTTCCATGGAAACTCTGAAAGTCAGAAGGTCCTGGATAGATATTCTACCTAAACTAAGAGACTGTGGATGCCAGCCCTGGCTACTATACCCAGCAAAGCTTTCAATCACTATAGATGGAGAAAACAATATATTCCATGACAAAAACAGATTCAAACAATATGTATCCACCAATCCAGCCCTACAGAAAGTTGTGGAAGGAAAACTGAAACCCAAGGATGTTACGATAAATCTTTTTGCCAAAAGCCGCCTGAGCCCCACCACCACATGTGAGCTTTATGCCAGCCGCCCGCCCGAGTTAGGCCCAAATGAATACACAGAGAGACTTATATTAGTTACAAAGCTGCTTGGCCAATGACTAGGATTCTCATTTGTTAGCTCAGTCTCAAATACCATACATCTATATATTTTATGGGACTTATCTTATCGGATGCCATATTGGTGTCCCTTCTTGCTGGTGAATCACATCGTGCCGCTGGAGCAGGAGCCGAGGGGAAAAGAAAGCAACACTTCCTTTTTCCTCTTCTTAAATATGAGTCTCCTCGCTATGTCACTTCCTGTCTGGAACACCACTTCTCTACTACATTTCCCAGAATCCTCTTTGACTCCTAGTCCAGCCTAACCTGCTGTCTCATTGGCCAAGAAAGTACTTTATTTATAAACATACACAGAAGTATTTCCCCATCACAAGGAAGTTAATTACAACCAGAAAAATATAGGCAATAGATAGTCCCACTTTACCAACAGCCAAAAGGAAAAAGGGATAGAATCCCAGAAATAATTTTGCCACTATCACCAAATCAAAAACAAACAAGAATTAACAACCAATTGTCATTAATATCCATCAACACTAATGGTCTTAACTCGCCTATAAAAAGACATAGGTTAATAGAATGGATAAGAAGACAGAATTCTTCCTTCTGCTGCATAAAAGAAACACACCTCAACTTCAAAAACAGACATACCTAAGAATTAAAGGTTGGGGAAAGATTTTTCCAATCAAATGAACCCAAGAAACAAGCGGGGGTAGCAATCTTAATATCCAGCAAATTGGACTTTAAACTAAAATCAATCAAAAGAGATGAAGGAGGTCACTTCCTACTCATCACAGGAGAAATCCATCAGGATGAAGTCTCAATTCGGAACATATATGCCCCAAATACAAAGGCATCCACATTTGTAAAAGAAACATTACTAAAACTCAAATCACACATAAAACCGAACATACTTATAATGGGAGACTTCAACACCCCACTCTCATTACTGGA